CTCTTTTTTTGAGAAAATAACCATGGTGAAGACAAATTACGGCTAACTTGATGCGTTTAGGAAATACAGGGCACTTCTCAGATTTTGTCCAATTTTAAAAAATCCTCCAATTTCTTTATTAATCAAGATATCCCAAAACGAAAAATACTTTTTCTACTTGCGTACGCAAAGTGATAACTTTGCACACTCATTTGCGTGCGCAAAGTTGAACTTTGCGCACGGAAACTCTTTGCGCACTCATTTTTGTTACGCATAATCACCATTGATTTTTCAATGTTTTGATGGTTTCTGAATAAACTAATATTCGAAATGAAGGGTTTTAGTTGAAATTTACACTTACTTAACATAATGTTTCCTATCAAAGGTGTCCAAATTGGACCAGCCTCTACTGCTAGGAATTTGTAAAATTTTTGATATTTAAGAGACTGTCATAAAAATATTCTTGCTGATTCTAGAAATTCCAGAAGATGTAAAAAGATATTTGGGGATTTAATTTAAAAGACATTCTGAGGAATTCCAATAGATTCCAAACGATTTATGAAGATTTTGATTTTATTGATTTTTCTTATATTTTAATAATTCAAAGTCTACTTTTTTAAGATACTCGTAGAAAAAATATTTTTCCTACGAGCGTGCGCAAAGTAATACTTTTCCGCACGCATTTCCGGGCTCAAAGTTACACTTTTCCGCACTCAGTGCGGATACAGGCCTTATCCGCACTGAGTGCCGAAAAGTAATTATAATTGTCAAGCAATAAGTGCACCTGTCGACTTTGACACATGATGACAAATTTTTCCTCTGTTTCTATATCAGCCAACATCTATACAAACACCAAATATAAATTAACTTTGACATTGTCAGATTTTTCTCTATTTATATGCAAAAATCTACAAACTTTCTCATCAAATTTAAACGCTTTAAGATGAACAGCTCTGACGAGGATTTTCTGGTATTTTTTTTTGTTATGTAATTTTTTGAGGAACCTATATGCATTTCTTTCAAGTTAATTAAAAGTAATTAAACAAATTATCGTTTTTTTTTTTTTTTAATTTTTATTATTACCTACCTGATATGAAGCTCGTAGGAAAAATGTTGTTCCTAACACGTGCGCAAAGTGTCTTTTCCGCACGCAAACACGTATCCAAACTCCGCTTCGCGTCGTTCGTATAACTGTGTTTGCGTGCGGAAAAGTAACACTTTGCGCACTTGTTAGGAAAATAACTATTTCCTACAGCCGCACTGATATGCGTGCGGAAAATGAGTTTTCCCGCACAGTGCGGTAAAACTTTTTTTTTTGACATATCAGTGCGGAAAAAGTTTTTCCGCACGGCTGTCAGTGCGGAAAAAATTTTACCGCACTGATATGTCAAAAAAAAAAAAAAAAATTTTACATTTTTTCGCCTGTAGGAAAAGTATTGTACCTAACACTTGCGGAAAATATTTTTCCGCAATCGGCTGCATCACCGAACTCCGCTACGCGTCGTTCGGTGAACGGCAGCCGCGTGCGGAAAAATTCATTTTCCGCACTTGTTAGGTAAATAGCTAGTTCCTAACACTTGCGCAAAGTGTCTTTCCCGCACTAAAAACTTATCCGAACTCCGCTCCGCGTCGTTCGTCTAACTGCTTTTTCGTGCGGGAAAGTATCACTTTGCGCACTTGTTAGGAAAATAACTATTCCACAGGTAATTTTTCAAGTAGAATCCAGTGACATGACCAATTTTTTTCCAGATGCCACCAATTTTGGAATATTAGCTAAAGTTGTGCTTTTTAAATGGGACACCCCGTATATTATATTTTCATTGAATAGACCTTGTGAGCTGATTTCAATGATATAAGGTTTTATACCTTTACCTTCAATAGTTTTGGAGAAAAAAAAATAAATTCCGTTTTTTCCATAAGAAACAATGAGATAGAAGGAGATAGTTGAACTATGAATCGGCTACAAATTTCTTAATTCTTAATTTAATTTTTCAGTTCAGTTAATTTTTTTAAAATTCGAACTATGAATTGGGGGTGATAAATTAACAGCGCATAATTTATTTAATGACTTATCTCGTTCTATCTCATTGTTTCTTATGGAAAAAAACGAATTTATTTTTTTTCTCCAAAGCTATTGAAGGTAAAGGTATAAAACCTTATATCATTGAAATCAGCTCACAAAGATCTATTCAATGAAAATATAATATACGGGGTGTCCCATTTAAAAAACACAACTTTAGCTAATATTCCAAAATTGGTGGCATCTGGAAAAAAATTGGTCATGTCACTGGATTCTACTTGAAAAATTACCTATGGAAAGTATTTTTCGTTTTGGGATATCTTGATTAATAAAGAAATTGGAGGATTTTTTAAAATTGGACAAAATCTGAGAAGTGCCCTGTATTTCCTAAACGCATCAAGTTAGCCGTGATTTGTCTTCACCATGGTTACTTTCTCAAAAAAAGAGGTCGAGAATGTGCTCCCAGATTTTTGATATCTCTGCTAGTTTTTGATACACCCCATTAAAACATCGAAAATGGGCCACCCTACAGTTGCGATAAAAAAAAAGTAGTACAAGAAAAATCTCCAAAATCTCCTGGTCTATTATACATTAATTTAATTCATAACCAAAAATGATATATTTTTGGCATTTTTTGACAAGTTTTTAACCTAGAAAGCTTCAGATGACTTTATTTTGACATCTTTCCACCCGTTTTCAACCAAGAATATGTCATTGCCTGTCAAAACTTTGTATGTTACACCAGGAGCTCAAATTGGGGTGAATAATTTTTGTACTATTTTTTTTTTATCGCAACTGTACCTACTTGATGAAAAATTGTGCCAGAAAGTTAATTTGTCTCTTTTCAATATTATTGATTGAAAAAGAAGGAACAAGAATAGACAAAAACGACAATGGTGGATTTGAGCAAGCGCTTGATTTTTTGACAGTTGAAAAATGTGAGGTTAACTTGCTAAAAAAATCTCAGCCCGGATTCTATTTTACGAGTCGAGTCGAATTGTCTGTTATGACACTCGATATCGAATACGACAGCTCCGGACGTACCGTGTAATACGTATCGAAAAACAGAATCGCTATTTTGACAAGTCGATACAAATTTCGACTCGACTCGTAAAATAGAATCCGGCAGATCTTTTCATTATTATCAATCAAGGACTGTCAATGTAAAAAATAATTTTATGTCTATTCCCAAGGTTGTTTGAGAGAGGTAAGTTGCCTGATAACTTTATGACGTCATCTGGGGGGCCGCAACATAATGCAAATCTCCATAAGGCACCCCAGACACGTCATCAGGTTACCCATTACCAGGCAACCTATGAACTTTGGGAACCTTGGTGTATTTATTCCCGGCTCTTGGATTCACTTGCCAATTGTCATTTCTGTCAAATTAGAATGGTTACAACAAGAAATGACAAATAATAGATTTGTCTTTTGTTGTTGTGACGGTATCTGGATAATTTTAAAAACGCCTATATCTTGACATTTGATATAATAAATACATGGCCTACTTGATTAAAGATTGCGCCAGAAAGTTTATCTGTCTCTTTGACAAAAAAACGACCGGATAACTTTCATGACGTCATCCGGGGTGCCTAAACATAATGCAAATCTCCATGAGACACCCCGGATGACGTCATCTGTTTCTCATTGAGGCAATTTATTAACTTCAGGAACCTTAGCTGTTTTCTCGCGTTTACCTTTTTGAAACTGGTTCAAATCAGATTTGAAACATCAAAATTGGATCAAATTATTTCGAAAAACAATCCAATCCACGTTTCAAACCATTTTCTCGCGCCGATAAGTTATGACGTCATGTGACACTGTCTTAAACCAGTTTCGAAAAACGTTCCAACATATTTGTTCCGCGAGAAAACACCTCTTGTCTTCATAGGGCAATCCAATCCATAGGGCGGCCATGGTCAAACAATGAAATTGGCGCCAAGGATTTCATTTACCTTCGGACAACCCTGACGTTGGGTCATCATGAAACTGTTCTCTGTGTAATTTGTGCAGTTTTGAAGGGATTTTCTATTGCTCGATAAGGATAATGGCCGTTTCCATCAACTATTTTAGAGGAGCCTTAACGATAGGTAAGTATTCCTTAAACTGACATTTCTCCATGAAAAACTGTCATTTCAAGGAATACTTATCGTTAGGGCTCCTCTAAAATAGTTGGTGGACACGGCTATAATTCTCGTAGTGTATAAACAAGAAACAAACACCAAACACACATCACAGATGTTTGACCGTTGCCGTGAAATCATGATTTTCTGAATTAAATGTAATGCGTTATGTGAGAGATCTTTCTGTTTGTCCAATATATTATACTCTCGGCCAAGTACCACAGTACCACGTTCGAATAGGTAAACTCCTGATTTGGATAGTTTATTCGATCTAGACTTGTGAATTTTAATGGTTTACCCGATTTGTTATTGGTTAAAGCAGTCTTTATCTTGTTTTTGGGAAAGTTTTTGGAAATACACACTGAATTCAGAGACAAGAAGCAATTCAATCTTCTAAGAATCCTAATTTAATGAAGAATCATGGTGATTCAGAGTCATGAGGCATATCTTTTTCAGAGTGGAAATAGAATTTTACTTTCTGGGTTCAAAAGTCGGTACTCCGGAAAATATTCTTAGCATGTCACTGATACAGCCCTTATTCCATTCATATTTAGCGCAAGATGGCACATGTTCTATTATATCCACATATTTTAAATGCAACAGTCATTACAGAAAAACATCTTTCAGTCGAAATCCTCATTTAAAAAAATTCTACGTATCTATGTAGATTTAAGAAATAAGCACCCCAACACTCCATTTTTGATCCATGTAAGGCTTTTAAACTTGAAAATGTGTTTCACGTCGTTGTATAAAGGATGTGTTGGGGGGCGAGGGTGTGGGCGTAGAACCAGGTGACAAGCGTAGTGTATTAGGGTTAAGTGGCCAGGGGTGGAACTATTTATGCGCATTTGCACAATTTAAGTTTTTTTCTTTTTCAGGAATTTTTACTTGCGATAGATGTTACTTCCAGCGGCACGCCAGAAGAAAAACTAAAATGGGCGTTTAGGATGTACGATGTTGATGGAAATGGCGTTATAGATATACAAGAAATGACTAAAATCGTTCAAGTAAGTAATAAATCTATGAGTTAGTAGTTAGTGATACAGCGTTTGGAAGAACAAGATAATATTATGTGCAATTGATTTATAAGGAGTCACAATATCTCGGAATTTATCTAAGTCCAACAGTGATTTAAAGACTGGTGGAAGTACCATCAAATTTCCAGAAAGCAGAAATGTTTACGTCATTTTTTTTATTCGTACAATAAACATGTACCAAAACCAGCATATGCAAACTTTCAGTGAAAATATCAGCTTTCATTTTATCTGTTGGCATAATATATTTCAACTGAATATTACAATTCCCAACTGCATCTCTTATAAAATGATACTTGAAATTTATATGTTCAGTACGATTGTGAACCATAGGATTTACTACCAATTTCTGGGCACTTTGATCATCATTGAGAATTAAAATTGCATCCTCCAAACTCAAAAGCTCATTCAAAATATACTTAAGAAATATAGCCTCTTTTGTGATTAATGACAAGGAATCATACTCTGCTTCAGTGCTGGATAAACTTATGCAACTTTCTCACTTAGCCTTCCCAGAAATTGCCCCTCCAGCCAACTTGAAAACATATCCACTGTATGATTTTCCAATAATGTCATTTTCTACATATCTACAAATATTATCATTATCTTTCTTAAAACCGAAATGCATATCAAGATAACGAAAGATCCTTTTAGGATGTTGGAAATGAATATTTGTATAGCAATTATTATACTGACTCAAATAATTTACTGCAAAAACTATATCAGGACATCAATTTACTGCAAGACAAATTAATGACTCAATCAAACACTGATATGGAATATCTTTATCTGGTGGGTTAAGCCGTTTTTGTAATTTCAAGTTAGCTTCCATAGGAGTGATAAGCGATTCTGCCTCGGTCATACCAAATTTGTCCAATAATTTTAAAATATAATCCTTTTGATTAATTTAATTTCATGATTTAACTTGTCATATTTTATATTTAAACCTAAGCAACATTTGATCCGACCCAAATCCTGTACACTGTACAATTTTTCTATCTTTAGGAATGTCCACTAGACTCCATGCATTATTGTCCTTCATTGATTACATTTTTTCATTCATAATATTCTTCCACTCATCACAATATTCACTAGCTAAGGCTTCTTGCACTGAACAAGGCTCACTAACTTCTTCCGAGGCATAGACCAGAGAATAATTTAATTTTCCCAGATATCTGAGTACGTCCAAACTCTTGTTGCATGTGCTCTTGATGCTCTGATTTGTCTAATGATTCATCACTACTATCATTTTCAGCTTGATCATCAGCAATGACATCGTTAATAAGTTCTAGTTTAGACTCAATTGATATTGTTTGCTGCTGTGAAATATCAGAAGGTACTGTACTGTTTTCTTTTGTAGTATAACATACCCAGGTTCGATCAGTAAGATTGAACGACGAGAATTTTTATTAGCTTTTAAACAACAAATCTTCTGAAAAACGAAATGAAAAATCACTAGGACCTACGTTGTGGATACTTACTCAAATTTATTTACTGGACATGCGCCCGACATAGCAAATATTTGGAAAATTTAAGGGAAGCTGTAATATGTAAAAGAAACGCAAAATTTGTGAAACGTCTTCTTTATTATCAAAGAAAAACGTACCGTTCTCGACCTAGAATTCTCGAGGGAAAAGAGAACGGCAGAGAAAACCTCGATTCCCCAAAAATCGAAACATACTTCATTTAGGTGAATAATAATTGAGAGGCATTAATTCAATAATTTAAGTCAATAATTCAATAAAAGCTGAAACTAGGTACCGCCCCTGTTCTTGTGCGAAAATTTCAATTACACACACTACATTCAATCAACACTACCTGTAATCAAAACTGAAGAGTTTTTGGTTAGTTAGCCCATCTGTGGCGGGTACCGAGGTCCCTGGTTACGTAAACTCACGGCTATAGTTGTTTTTGAGCCAATATCTCTTTCCTTTTTGCGGTAGGATATTCGCTCGTCAGGGTAGGAAAATGTTAGTAAATTCAACAAGGCCCTAATGCACGCTCTGAATACACAAAATCAAAATCCCAGCACAAAAAGACAGCACATAATTTCTTAGGTTCTAATTTACTCTTTAGCTGTGTTGTTTACAGTATGAAACGATATTGGTTAAATACATAAACAATGCACATGTTATAAAAAATTGTTATAAACAAACAAAAAAAACATAAAAATTGGAAAAAAAAATAATACAGTAGTGTCGCGATAATCCGGATCAATTAAAACCAGACCAATCCGGATTATCAAATTATTCGGATTACTAAGGCATTTTACAGTTCGCTTTTAAAACTATTTTGAAAAAATAACAGGCCGTATTTAAACAAAAAAAACTTTAGATTTATTTGAAAGCTCGTCTATAATCGCCAACTTTTCGTTGAGACTTAAAGTTTTGTGTTTGCGTTTAATAGTTTCTATTTTCTTTTAAAAAAAACCCACACAGTCAGGAAGGACGCCGCGTATTAAATGATGCGTGTAGACATGTAAAAACTACCTATCCACTTGAACGCAGTTACAAAACGACAAGTGAAAACCTGTGCTTTTATTTTCAAGAGTCATGTGAATGAATTCGGATTACCGAATCAAGTGAAATCCGGATTACAGAGTACATTTATCGAGACACTACTGTACTTGCGTAAATTGAACCCTCAAAAACCAAATAATAATTAATCCACTAACCTGTACGTTCCTTACACACACACACTAATAACAAATTGAATTGAACAATTAATTTTAATGCAAAATAGGAATTAAAATTGAACAATAAATAATTACAGACGCGCAACACGTTTTCTAAGGGGCCAGTCTAGCGCGTTCTCCATTCTAAAGTCTAATCGTCTGTTATCTGCTATTCTATCCTCTTCGGTTCGGTACTCTGTTGCGGCGCATCCCGTTTCGAAAAACCTAAACTTGAGGGCGCATTACATGGTTGCAACATTTAATTTTATTCAGTAAACATTTTTTTAAAAAGTTATGATTTGAAAAAAATAATATTTTAATAGGTGGTTCTTCTCACTTTGTAGATATTTTCAAAAAATACCACATCTCTAAATTTCATTATACGACCTGGTTTCTCAATATCAAAAAGTCTATATCCCTTGGTTTGTTCACAGTAGCCAACAAAGATATATTGTTTGCTCTAAGAATAAAATTTCTTTCTCAAATGATTAGGAATGTGCGCAATACAGCCAAAAACTCCGAGGTGTTCTAAGTCTACTTTCTCACCTGTCCATTTTTCTTGTGGAGTTAAGCGATTTTCTAAATGAATAGCTGTATTCGCAGCTTCTGAGCTTCTGCCAACAGTTTTTCTTCCAATTTAGCTTCTTGGATAGAACACCATTTTGCTCGGGCGTATATCTTACGGTTAATGGGTGTTCTATGCCTTTTGATTTTAAATAATTTTCGAAAGAAGTATTGTCCTACTCGGTGCCATTATCGCTTCTAAGTTTCTTTAACTTTCTTCCACTTTGGTTTTCTACCAATACATGAAAGTTTTTAAAAACAGTAAGAACTTCACTTTTTGACTTTGAAAAGTAGACAAAAATTTTCCTCGAGTAATCATCAATTGAAGTGAACATATATCTTGCTCCAATCCATGATGAAACCGGCATTGGACCACACAAATCAGTATGGACCAGCTCTAGTAAGTCTTTGGCACGCTTACCACCTGCCTTTCTAAAAGGCTGACGACTTTGCTTCCCTGTAAGACAAATAGTACATTGATCATCTTTTTCATCGTTGTAATCATCAATACCAGCAGCCAAACCTTGTTTAAGCAAAGACATACTAATTCTGTTCAAGTATCCTAGCCTTCGGTACCATAATTCTTTCATGCTTGCAGCTTTACAGCTTTAGTCAAATATGTGTATTGATTGATTAAATCCAGCTGATAAAGCCCATTTTTATTGGATGCAGTAGCTACAATATTTCCTTTACCTTGGAAATTTTCACTTATAAACTTGGTAGGTAGTCATCGTGTTAAAAGATTACAAATTGTTATGTTCATTTTCTTCAAAATCACCAACTCTTGTTCCAAATTCTATACACCAGAATTATCCAACATTTCTGGTTGAAATCGCACCAATTTGCATTCCAATACTGTTCTATTAGTAATGCATATTCAAAAACCAATCTAATCCCAATCCCTTTCCCATGCCAACGTCATACATTTTTCATTTCCGTGCCTGCTACTAATACACCCTAGGACTGAAAATATGGCTACATTATAACATAAAAGGTGACGTTGATGCTTTAAAAAACGTGCCCCAAATGTTATTTATCAAAAATCGTTGACAGTCCGCAGATGCTATGAAAGCGAAATGGCCCTTTTTAGCCCTTTCCCGCCCCCATTTCAGGGTTACTAGAAAAATTTATGGTGATCGGTTTATTGGACTGGTGCTGGCTGATGAAGCTTCCAAGTTTAAAAATAAATAATGCTGATTTCTAATTTTCTCCATTGAATGACACGTTTTCAAATTTTATTCGATAAACAAACCAAAAGCACTTACTTTAAATGCCCTTCAATATTTGATTGAAATTGATGCAATAGCACAAAAAACACTAATTGATTTTTGCGAGTTGTCGAAGATACTTCAAATGCAATTTGATCTTGTCCGATAAGATTTCTCCATGAAGATCTGTTTATAATTTGGAAATTCAGTTGCTATACTTACTTCTCTATTGGTTTAAAATGCTGGTTAAGAAATATCAACCTCGATTGTAGTCGCCTAGAGGATTCTAATTACTTAGGGGAATTGCTTTGAGATCAAAGGCCTTAATTGTTAATCAAACAAATACATCTTTAATTTTCAGTATTTAATTTTTAACGAACATTATTATTATCAGATTGGTCCGGCGCGATGAATTATAATTACATGAAATTAATACATACGGCATTCAACCCTTGGGCTGCTAATCCCCTCCAATAACGACTAATGTTCACGGAAACGATATGTACTAACAAGATCATTTGGCCCGGATTTGAACCCTTTGACCGTTCAGTCGTGTTTAGCAATTTAAAAGGTATTGATTGAGTCCCATTGTGATACAAGTAGAGGGATTTTCTTTTGTAATACTACATAAATACGCCTTTTGGGATTATCGAAATGGATTTTTTTAGAAATACGATGAACATAGTTTTATGAAATTGATGTCATATTAAGGAAGTTGATATATTCTCCTAAAAAACGGATTTTGAAAGGATAATGAATAGAACTTTCGAATTATATTATACCAAAATATTGGCTTTATTAGGGCGGTTATTATAAACTATTTTGACAGAAAACTGAAAGTTAACTTCTGGAATTTCATAATAATTCCAGAAGTTTGTTCTATCAGGACTTGGTATGATATACCATTTAGAACGAAACAGGCTAAATATCTGATGTAACTTTTATTTCTTAAAAAATTTGATTGTGTGAGTGTTTGAAACATTTTCAGCATTAAATTAAACCTCTAGGGGGGGTGGGAACAACCCTTACCATTCCAAATAGCACAGGAGGTCGAGTGATACCTGTTTTAAAAGAGCATTTAATTTTCTTTCAAATGAAAGAGAATTGAACGCTCTTTTAAACAAGGTATCCCTCGACCCTTCGTTCCATTTGAATTAGTAAGGGTTGGTCCCACTCCGCCTAGATTGTTAAAGTTGAAGCTAAAAATGGTTGCAGAAAGCTTACCCCTTCAAAAATCAAATTACGTGTACGAGCGAATTTTTTGAAAATAAACATGGCAAACAGCCTGTTTCGTTTTAAATGGTACACCCTGTATATCAACCCTGCCATATTCCTACGCCGGTTGTTAGGGCACTTAGGGTATTGTTTGGAGATGACAGGGGATATCATTAGTTAATATAGTTTCCTCCCCTACATAATACAATAGGTACCTACCTAAGTACCTATTGGAATTTCCAAAGATAATTATTAATGAGAAAATTTTGGATTAATTTTCTCCGCTATTCCATCCATAGACGCGTTTCGACCTATCAGGTCTAGTCAGTATGGCTAGGAAAGCAAAGAATACGTTTAGTGCCTGTAGGCAAAATAGAAGTAGTACGACGGTTTCTTTGCTTTTGGCCATACTGACGAGACCTGATAGGTCGTACCAAGACTGAGCAAGTCTTATCTTGGTCTTGAAATATCAAGACTAAGACCAAGACAGTATTTATTTTTGGAGACCAAGACCAAAACTGGCTAGTCTTGGTCTAGCGAAGCCCTATATTCGAGTAAGTGACCTTCAACGTTCAACTTTGGTTAGACAGAGTTTATTAATGATGCTAGTTCTTCGAACATATTAAATATTGATTTTTATTTCTCCTATGGTTGTGATTTTCCTCGAATTTTTCCTCTCTTATTCTATCTTCCTTTCTTTCTCCTCGTCGCCAAATTGTTATGTATTTTGTAAGAAATTACGCTGTAGATGTGACTATTTTATTATCAAATCTGACAATGACATGACACTTTATAAAAAATAATAATAACAGGTGTTTAAAACAACAATCCTTTTAACAACAGGTTAACAATAATATTATATACATAACAATACCTACTCCTTATAAATTCCTATTAATGACGTGAAATTCACGTTCAATAGTGCAACAAAATTTTTTAAAACTACATTTATTTTTGTTTCTAGGCAATCTACGATATGTTGGGCGCATGCTCATCCAACAGACCGGCAGATTCCGCCGAAGAAAGAGCGAAAAACATTTTCGCCAAGATGGACGAGAACAACGACGGTCAGCTCACCCAGGACGAATTCCTGAAGGGCTGTTTGCAGGACGAGGAACTGTCGAAAATGTTGGCGCCTTAAAAACGTACAACCGCCAACCAAGAGAAGTATAATTTTTTGGGTGGAGAAGGTGCAGTGGATTTTGGACTTTCTTGTATAATTGATAATATTATTAAAAGCAAATCAAAACAAATATATATTATTAAGTCTTAATCGCCACCCAGAATCTACCGTAACGTTTCTCAAAATTAAGATAAAACTATAAAGCGGCCTCTTACAAGAGCTTAAAACGCTTTTACTACAAGTGTAACTGACACAATCGTACTTTGAGAAATAAAAGACTTTTTTTATTATTATAATTATTATTGTTTATCGATGTATGTGATTTTTGCTTGTCAAAGGTTGATTTTTGCTTGTGACATGACTATTATGTTTTAAGGTAGTATTGCATTAACAGAAACCAAAATCAAAACATGAAATTAAGGAATTTGAAGGTGTACTATAAATTTGGTATAAAATTACTAGCACAAGTTCACTTAAATGGACTTGAGTAAAAAAATAGTGCAATCTATACTTACATAAAAGATAATTAAACTTAGCACTAGACTTGAGACATCATCAAAATCAAATTGTTAACCAAGAAGTGCACCTTCTAATTCGTATATACATACTAATTTTTGCATTTTATTAATAGAATACTACCTTTCAGCAACTTTTTTTGTTTTGTGTAATACATCTGTCCATATTCCAAATACAGATTGTCTCCAGATTTTCGCAACCAAACCATACTAAAATTTGTGATATCAAACTGTCGTGGTTTGGAATTTCTTCCAAACGTTTCCACTTCCAAAGTTCCAACGTTAAATTATAAATAGCAAGTTTCGACGTGTGATTGATGCGAAAATCTAGACCAATTATTGAGAAGTAGATTTTTAACTTGAACACATTACCTGTATGTTATAATAATACTCCAAATACCTACTGTTGGTAAATGTAATTTTCTTCAGCTTTAAAAGCAAATGAAGCTGTTTTTTTCATGCTGTCTGCCATCATAATGGTATTTATAGGGCGTTAACTTTTCTCTAGCTTCAGTAGTAATAATTCAAACATTTCAAAGTCTAAAAAAATAGAAGTGAATTTTCTGTTTCATAGACAACTCAATAAGACCTTTTGTATCTATTGATTGATTGATTGAAATCCTTCTCAGGCATCAATAAATATAAAGAACTGGAGTAAAACACACTATCTTCACTCTTTATTTTATAAAAATTTCAGTTGAAAGGGGGGTTGAACGTGTTGCCGATCTATCATAGATCCATCATCAGCATAAGTTCTACAAGATAAAAATTATGGGAGTTAGGGAAAATAAGCAAGGATGTATATAACAAAACTTGAGGGTCATTTACATCCACTTAACTTAACTCACGGAAAATTATAATTAACGTACGAAACTGAGAAGGTGTGTGTTTACAATGAAGCTAATTTTCCTACATGTAATGGGGCCGTCCTGCTAAATTGAAATGAATGTTTCTGATGTAAGACAAGTACTTCTACTACGTTTACATACGGTTCAATATGATTATTGAAATTATGCTTTGAAACAAAACAATTTTATTTAAGATTGAATTTTTGCAATTGACGTGTCTCGTAATACCTGTTGTGCGCGCGCAACTCGTGGGTTGCAGGTGAGCGTCCAATGAAAATCGAGTTTGTTACGGGCTTGCATCATATTCGTATTCAGGGACAAGTTCAGAATTAATCGTTCCTTCTCTCTTTGTAACGTGTAATTCGACAAAGTGCCAACTAATATTTTACGTATTACTTGAACTTATCGCAGTGTCGTTTTAGGTTATACTTGACATATTCCTTTGCAATTTCATTGTGCGATGTTGCCGGATGAAAAATTTATCAAAATAAAAGTGCCATCGATGTTAACATACACTCTAGAGTTCTTCTTTTGTCTGATTTAAGGCGTTGTAAAATACTTGACAATATATCACTTCTTTAGTGTTATAATGTTCGACGTATTTTCTAATTTGTTCTCCAAAAATACAATCTGGCTACATTGCAGCCACGAGTTACGCGCTCATGTCATTTTTTATTACTTTCTAACTTGTATTTTTTACAATTAAGGTATCTTTTTCTATTTCTGCGAGACACGTCAATTATTTGAAATTGATGTTTTCGCGCCCTTATGACGTATTATGACTCCAGCCAATAGGAGACGAACGAATATGTTCCATAACGACCTAAACCCTGAAAAATAAGCAATAAAGAAATAGTTTTTAATTTTCATCAAAAAATAGGCATATTTCAGAAACTAGTAGAGATAGAATTATGAAAATTTGGAATCTTATCAAATTTGGCACGCCCAATTCATTTCAATAAAAATAAATGTGGGTTTCTATTTAAGATAATAACAAGACTACGCGTAGCGCAAAACTAGGAAATCTGGCAACAATGCTGATATCACAGTTGAATTTCGCTTGCCCAAAAATCCCCAGATAACGAATTTAGTGAACGAGCCTAAGCGAGTTTTGTTGATATTCAAGCCAGTGTTGCCAACTTAGTAGAATTTCCACTAGTTCTAGTGGATTTAAAAGTCGTCTAGTAGAATGGTTTCAGCAAATTTCACTACAGTGGTAATTTTAATGGGAATGGAAATGGGATCCATGGTTTCTAGTTAATTTTTAGCTCAATGATTTTTAGTGATCCTTCGCTTCCATTAGCCAGATACTTTTTAAATTTTCTAAATAACCTATTTGTATAGGATTCCTGTTAATTCACAGAAAATAGCATATTTTCAAGGACACCTACAGGATGGCTTATCGCCATATTGGTGTGTCACTATTTCCGACGTCATAACTAAGTCGTCAACTGTTTGAACAGCCTACGTCAAGGCGAGAAATAACATGCTGCCTACGTCACAAATGGTGATTTGGCGTGGGGGGATTTTACACAGAGGCCTTATGAGATAGGCCATCCTGTAGTAGTAGTGTGTATCATCCTTGACATATTTTTTTTGTGGGCTTGTCATATCGTAGGTATGTCAATATTGTCAATGATGCTTTTATGTCAACTGTCATCATTGTCACTTTCAAACTTCAAGTCAAGTAAACCCGGCTTTCATAAACATGCTGCTGTATCATAAGGCAATTTTTCGCGAGGATAATCAAGCATACTCGAATATGCTGGGTTATGTGATCTGTAAATTGCGTCATACTCCACTCTCCCAACTCCCTCTCCATCAAAATCTGGGCCTGCGAGTGACGTAACGATCAGCGGCTTAGACTGATGACGTCACTCGCAGACCTCAATGGAATGCTTGCAATTCAGGCTGTGCTAGTGAGTTAATTTTTTCGTCGATTTTAAATGTAGAAAAGGTGATTTTCGGTCTGTTCTCTTAAAAGAAATTAAGTGTTCTTGATCCTCGAGTATCCTAGAATTTGATGGAGGGGGAGTTAGGGGAGTATGACACAATTGACACATCACATAACCCAGCATACTCGAGTATGCTTAATTATCCTCGCGAAAAATTGCTTATAATCTAAGAAACAAAGAAAAGAAACTAACACAGCACAACATGGCAGATGATATCTAGATGGCGTTGAGTATCCACATTTTTCAGAATTATTAAACAATAAAAAGATATTAGGAGTGCTAAAAATTTCAAAAAAGAGGGGGAAAAATTTAGGAGTCTTTCCACTAGTCCAAAAAATTTTCGCCTGCGGCGCCGTTTTTTCCTCCTAGTGGATTTAAATCTCTTTTCTAGTGGACAGTTTTGGTTCAGAGTTGACAACACTGATTCAAGCGCTGCGATACTTTTCACTGAAAATATGGCACGTCCAATTCATTGCAATAAAAATAAGTGGGGCATTCTATTTAAGATCACAAAAAGACTACCTACGTGTAGCGTGAAACTGGGAAATCTAGCAACATTGCCGATAGCACTGTTCAATTCCGCATGCCCAAAAACTGTCAGATTCCGAAATGTGTGAACGCGGCTTGAGCGGTTTTGAAGATATTTAAGTGTTGCAGTACTTTCTACTAACCCTGTATACATCCTTGCTAATTCTCCCTAACTCCCATAATTTTTGTTTTGTAGAACTTATGCTTATGATGGATCTATGATAGATCCGAAACCCCCTTTTAACTGATATTTCTATAAAATAAGGAGTAAAGACAGACTGCATGTTTTACTCCAGTTCTCTAACTATTCTCTTCGCTGTGAGATATAGACTACTATTTCAAAAATATTAATAAACATTTTGCACCAGAATGAGGGTTAAAGAATGCCTTTAGGTGGAAGTGGACATTTATATTTAATATTGAAAGCTAGAATGAATATTGGAAAATTCTAATTGACAATAGTTGATATTTGAAAGATGCAAGAGTCTGATAAGTTGGTTCATATCTAGGTCAAAGTATTCTATTGAATTCAGTATTTAGGGTCTTTGGGTCATGATGATTTTGTTGTGGACTTCAAAGTCCTTGAGAGAAAGCACCAGATAAAGTTGTCTACGAGGAGTGAACCGCTGGGGGTGTCTGGTGTACATGCTTGGAGATGTCCAGAGGATGTCTAGGGATATCCCAGGATTTCCGGGGATTTCCAGGATGTTCAGGGGATCTCCAAGGGATGTCAATGGGATTTCTGAGGATGTCCCAGGAGATGAGGGCATGTCTAATGAAAAAATCGTGGCATTTTCTAAAGTAACAGATATTTCCTTGGTTCTTTTATTGAAGTAACATCAGCTGCAAGGTACACCCTTCTTTCTCTATTAGCGTAAGTATATATTTAGAGAAATTTAGAAGAAAACGAAAATTCAAGAGCCGGGAATGGACAAAAATTGAGACGGAAAAACTGAGAATTAACAAAGAAAAAATGTAGAAAATTTGAGAAATAAATGGTAGATAAAAGAACATTCATGTTTTTTCTATTCCAGGCTCTTGAATTTTCATTTTCGACAAATTCAATAGAGCCGGGACGGGAATAAACAAAAATTGAGCGGGAAAAATTGAGAAAAAAATTCAGAGAAAAGAGTAAAATTGGTACACAAAGTATTTCGTTTTTATTCCAAGCTCTCGAAATTTTTTCTATTCTCAGAAATTTGGAAGAAACGAAAAATTCAAGGTACTTATTATAGTTTTGTGTATTTTCGAATATTTTGTTTTTCTAATTAGGAATGTTTTTTTATTCAATTTCGTTTGGTTTTGAAGTTTTCGTCTTCGATTTCTAGGTAGATTCTCATTGACAATCTTTATTAACTTTACCAATACTATTGATTCGACTATCGATGACTGTAATACCTAATCTAATTTATCATAGCCTCAGTAACTTGAACATGGTAAGGGTTTGTTAACCTGTTATAAGGTAAGAGTGACTGATACTCTTGTTACGAGCCTTGCTTAAAAGGCCAATAGTCCTCGAAAATATATCAGAGATATATACAGGGAGAAGGGATGTCCAAAGATGTCCAGGGATACCCGAGGATGTCTAGGGATATCTGAGGATGTCTTGGGATGTTCAGGGATGTCTTGAAATTGTCCGGGAATGTACTTCAGTAGGGGGTGTACAGATTTTGCTCAGCGGTTTACTCCTGGGTTGTCTATGAAAAATAATCATTTAACATTCAACTATTAATACTGATTGAAAATGTTCGTAATTTAACAATCGCACAAAAAAAGTTGCACAAATGAATATTTAACAAATTCTACAAAATAATAATTGCCACAAATTGAAACGTTCGATATTAAATTATTCACGTGCCAGTGTGCATTTGAAATATTATATCGAGATTCAATAAATTGAAACAAAAAACAAGTAAATTTCAAATAAATAATTCTGATCTCGTCTATATTGAACAAAGCATTTACCTAGCTAGTAGCTTAGAATAATTATTATACTTTAAAACACTATTTGAGTGTTGATTTAGAAAGTGTAGTAAATTTGTATTGATGGGATTGGTAATAATGGTGTTTTGGGTGCCAGTATAGCCACCCAAATATCCATCTTTACTGATCCTTTAAGGACCATATTCTGGCCAGGGTATAGTCTGCTAAAAAAAAACAAACATTTATCTAATCTATATCTATTTACCATTTTTAGACATCACTTTTGTATACAACACTGTAAGTATCTTATTTAAATATTTAAGGGGAACCAAATCTATTACATAACTATTATCATTGTCCCGAATTGGCCGAATTATATTCGTCAACTTATCATTGGTATGCATATCTTTTCTTTTGGATAAGTGAATACGCAAAGAAAAATAAAATGCTCAAAATTAGCTTACTTTTGGTAACCAAGCCTATGAAGCAAATATAAAAAAAACTGATTTAATTTGTATGATAAAACAATATAAAATTAGCTGGAAAATCCGAACAAACATGAATTTCTCTGACTAAATATGGGGTTATTATTGTTACTATCCAACACTAACTAGAAACGAGTTGATTGTTGATATGCCTGAACAAAACCCCTGTCCTGTCCTTTGTTGCATGTCTGTAGCAAAAGGCCTGTTTCCTAGGCGATGGAAAACTATAAATCCAGCACTTTATTTAGCATTTTAACGTTTTGCACGTAACGTAAGCAAGTGCAAGGAAATAGCGTTTTTTAATCGATGCCAAACATGCTAAAATTAACGGCACGAAACTCGGCCAGGCCTTTGGTATTTTGTCAGTTTTACACCGTTTACCGACTAATAAAGGTCTCTATATTTTTCCAACAAGTGTTTAGTTCACGGATTTATCCAGCAATTAAATGGTCAGTATATTGTTATTATTCATTTGAAGAGGTTTTATAAATTTGAGTTACCTACTACAAGAATTTTTAAACAAGTTAGATGGGTCATGGTTAACTCAAGTCTATAACACCTGGCATTAGTAATGTACGTATGTTTGGTTACATATAAGGGATGGCCAGGTTTCTTACAAATCTAAGGGCCGATACTTTTGCTCTCGATTAACGAATTTGATACGTCGTCAAGGTTTTGCATGGGCCAAGGTCTATAAGTATGATGTGGTTAGAGCACAGTCAAACCCTTGATTATTTTCAATGGCTGTCATATGAGAGCAAAAGTACCGACACTAAATCTATTCTTTTCGGGGCCAGTTGGTAACCTTTTGCTTAGTTACCTCAGTATGATAGTGTAACATTGTTTTTGTTGCACATTTTGAGGTCACCGTTATTTAACTGGAGGTTTTCTAGCTTTATATGGCATTTATATATTTTCTCTTTTAATCATGGAAAGAAGTATTTATCCAAAATCACATAAACGTCCCTAACTTTTTGTTTTTTGTATGAGTGTGTGTGTAAAAAACATCATTCAAAATTTATTTGAAAAGGACAGTCATTGAAATTTAAAACAGATAGTATAATATTTCTGAACTCAATTGGAACAAAGTACCAACTGGTGGCTGATTCGTCGCTGAAAATTTCCATAAGAAATGCACTGCCACTAGTCAGCCACCAGTTATGATTTATGTTCACCTTGTTCCAATTGACTTTGGAAAAACTATGTATAACAATCAATAGCCTCACCAGCATCTATTTCAACATTGCCAATGCTATGATCAGTAATGAATTTCTTGTGATGTTGAATTGAAAAAATGCTCTTTAAGATTCCTGAGGATTAAGTTTGCAAAGATACCTGAGATATTATAAACTTGAAAAAATTTAGGGACGTTTTTGCCAAGCTTCTCGAAAAATTCTCTATTAAATAATAATATGTTTTTCTCAATCACATTCAATCGTAAACATCCTTAAGTTAGTGTAAATACAAAAATTATTCTAGTCTTGAAACTTTAGCCTGCAAGGTAACCAAGATGTGATAAAGTAACATCATCCACAATAATTATTATGGAACAAGGCACAATTTTTTTCCTCAATCTATTTAATATGTCTCTGTGTAGCTTCTATATTTAAGTTTTTAACTGTATTTTTCTACTTGCGCACTACTATTTGCTCTCTAATACAATTGTATATGTATTTAATAAAAAAAATCAATCTATGTTATCGTAAATGTTGTAGTGTTTTAAAAATTGTGGCCTTGCCTTCTAAAATTCTTTTAGACCCAGGGCCACATAAAAATTATTATCTATGAACGCAATAGTTGCTGTTTTGCCCTATATCTGTACATACTGGGAAAAGCTATACATGTATAATGCACCAAGAAAAAGTCAATTTGTATTAATATCCATAAGGCCATTTACTTGAAATCTATATACACACCCCCAAACATTTTTAGTGTTATATTATTGTACAGGGTGTCTTAAAACGTTCTTTATGAGAAAAAAATTGAGACACACATTTTATGTTGTTTTTAATTGATATTAAACCAAATGAATCTTTCTGTATTTGAGCCTCAGATGTTCAATAAAAATGTAACTCAACGGGGCTCAAATATTTTGTAAAAGTAATCGTTGTATATTAATTCATTTTTTTAGCATTAAGCAGAGGCAAAGGATACATAATAGTATATCTAGATGTAAAAAAAAAACATGTTAGTTGAATGAATTTCTTCAAATAATCTATCTGTTTGATGGTACTCAAAATATTCCCAACAAAATAATTTTTATCACTTATTACAAATTAATAATAATATGATAATTAAAAAATGTCAGATATTTGGAAATGGCTTTTTTGTTTATCCAATCCCTATATACTAACTAGTACACTGAAATTTTAGGATGAATGAATTTGCCCTTTTGAAATTAAATACATATAGAAAGTATTAGATTTTTTTCCTCTAATTTCAGTGTACTAACCTTGTTACTCTCATATACATGCTTATAATATTTCTAAATAAATAATGTATTTTAGTTTAGATCCGAGATAGGAAAGTAGCACGAAACAAAAACATGTTCATAGGACGTTAGCTGACAATTTGTAATAAGGAGGTGTGATTTGAAAACTAGTCTAGTCATGGGTAAACAAAATAGTAAGCTCAAGCCCGAAGTTTTGGAAGATCTGAAGCAAAATACAGAATTTTCTGGTGAGTACATATTATTGACAATTCGAAACAGGACCCTAAGATTATTATTTTTTGAATTCTATAATATTGTTTCTTTATTCCCCAGATGCTGAAATTCAAGAATGGTATAAAGGTTTTTTAAAAGACTGTCCCAGTGGCCATCTGTCGGTAGATGAATTTAAGAAAATTTATGGAAATTTCTTTCCTTATGGTGATGCGAGTAAATTTGCAGAGCACGTGTTTAGGTAATTAACAGTTTTATTGTTTATTTAGAATAGAATAAGTAAAAATAGCAACAATAATTAACACAATATTAATTTGTTTCTCAACGCCTATTATAATGATTCAGAATTTATTCTTATGGCTCTTTCTTGAGCTAAGTTTTTTTTTTTTGTTAAGTGTGACTTCATTCCAATTAACCAGTACATTTTTCTATACTGTTATTCAAGCTAATATTAAGAAAGAAAGAGTTCTTAATATGTGCTCTCCAGCGCAATTTCGCATCAAGCGTCTTACCAAGTTTGTGGTGAAGAATTCTATGTATAAAGAAGCTTCGAATTATAATTTAAACACAAGAAATGCAATGAAAGGAAATGTTTTATTACAAAACCCTAGACACACCTTATGCCAAAGCCATATATTTATTGTATTAGACCAAATTATTACAATGATTTACCTATTAGTATTAGATCAAAGACATATAATTCAATTGATAAATGGTTGATTGATGTAGTAACTATAGCATAAACTATATCATATAATTACATTACATTGTAGTATTGCCTTATTATGTATAACATTATACAGGTCTGGCAAGTCAGCATCTTACAGGCCAATTTTAATGCAATACTTACCAATATAATGAAATGTCTAGAAAAAGTTCAAAGTTAAAAAGAGAACGAAACCTTCCACATGGAGCGCTGAGAATGCTGAAGGTGAAATAGGGGAAATGGTTTTCTTTCTTTATATAACCTTAGACTTTTTTTAGACATTTCATTCTATTGCATCAAAATTGGCCTGTAGATATTCACTTGTCATACCGGTATATTTATTGTTGGAGATTATATGACTATTACCCTTAAAGCAGGTAAAGCGCTGTCCTATGGACATAAGGAGTAGGAACGCGCCATTCTGCCTATAAAACAGTGAAGCCAAGTTTTTGGCAGGGGTTTGGCACCAAAATACAGGTAAAGCATTGAATTGCCTATACCGCCATTTTACTTGGAAAAAAACGGCTCCATTTTCCGACTCCGTATTACTACTCCTTTACCTTTACCTGCTCTAAGCTATTACCTCAGAAAGGATAAATTATGAAGCTCAAAAAGCACACCCACAGTATTTATTTCAAATACCATTGTTGGACACCCTGTATATTATCTTTTTTTTGGACTCTCTGAACAATTCTAAATAACTTTTGTCTAACATACCCTATGTCAAAAATTGATAGTTTTTGAAATAGAGTGGCTCAAAAATATGTGGTAATTCCTATTTGTTTGTATTTTACGTAAAAACTGAGTACCTATGCCAGAACAAAAAAATCATGGTTATTTGCTCCTTATTCAAAAGGCATTCGATAAGTTGCATATTTCTATCTCGAGCCGTTAAAAAATACCGCCATGGGTAGTAGTTTCATTGTCTCCCGGTTTAGCTTGGTTTTAGATGTATATTTCTCTATACAGCTCATAAAATTGTTTTCAGCTGGTCTGACGTCCATGTCACTGACAAACAAGAGGTAAATGGGCAGTGAAACAGTTTATTCAATCATAGGTTCCCACAAAAATTATTAAAATCAAGAAAAAAATATTACCAGAAAAACAATCAACAAATCTCAGGTATTAAGACTCAACTTGATATCTTAATTTTGTTAATCAGAAGTGGCAAAACATGAAAAAGCAATATATACAGGTCTATAAACCTAGCAGTCCCAAGGTGGAAAAAAACTGGGCGTACACGGGCGGCCTCGAATTGCGCACTATATACCTGGGCCCTATCCATTTTAACACGAATTGCGCACTATACAAAAGAGGCCCCAAATTTACAGTACTCGAATTGCGCACCCGAAGATTATGATAATTAAGTATTGTAAAAATAATATGTCCATAATATAAACAATATATTTTCTTTTATTCACACAAGAAAAAAAATGTACAAAGATAAATTATAACAATATACAATTCGTTATTATTATTAGTCTGTTGCTTATAAAAATAACTTTTAAACATTTTATATATTGAAGCTTGTCTATTTTTGGATACTGAATAATCTTTTCTCTTTTCTTTCTAAGTTTCATCGATACTTTGTAATTTTATGTACGTTTCTGTCTAAATTTCATTTAAGATATTTACAAATATATACAAGGATGGATGTATTTTATAAAACTGACCTTCTATTAGGGTTGTACCCATTAGGAATAATTATTTATAAAATTACCTGCAATTGCACCAATGCGCAATTCGTGGTAAGTATTCTAGGTGCTAAAAGTAACCCTCATTAAGAGATTAAGAAAGTGCGCAGTTCATGCACGTCCAAAAAACTTAGGGGTCTATATAATAATTAGGTGCTTTTTAGGTGCTCCTAAAAAGTCGAAGAAAAAATTAAATCGGTTAATTATTAATTGAGTTGCAGATTTTTTTTCATTATAAGGGGACTGCTGGCTTGATGTTTACTTGCGGGTGTATTTGCAGCGAATCTGATAACAGTGGCTGAAATGTTGTATTGGAGTTAGGTGCTATTTAAGTGCTCCTAAATAGTTGAAGAAAAACTTGAATCAGTTAATTATTAACTGAATTACAGATTTTTTTCATTATGAGGAAATTATTTGCTTCACGTTTACTTGGTGGTGTGTCAGAATGGAAAAAAAACTTCAGGGTCTATATAATAATTAGGTGCTTTTTAGGTGCTAATTAGGGCTTCTAATTAAAAATTAGGTGCTCCTTTAGTTTTTGAGAAAATCGAAAAAACTAAGGGACTACTAGATTTATGAAAGCTAGCAGTCCCCTATAATAAAAAATATATTCTAAAATTTTTCTTTTGTATCAGAATTAGGTGCGCCTAAATAGTCAAAAAAAAAATTTAATTGGTTAATTATTATTAACTGAGTTACAGATTTTTTTCATTATTAGGGGACTACTGGCTTTACGCTTACTTGGAGGTGTATTTGCAACGAATCTGATGACAATAGCTAGAATGTTGTATTGTAATCAGGTGCTATTTAAGTTAATAATTATTAACTGAATTACAGATTTTTTTCTTTATTAGGGGACTGGCTTTCATAAACCTAGCAGTGCCTTAGTTTTTGTTGATTTTTTCGAAAACTAGAGGAGCACCTAATTTTTAATTAGAGGCCCTAATCACTGGCGCCGACTACATGGGGGCATCGGGGCAGGTGCACCCATGGGCCATGAGCAACCTCTCACGGGTGCGGAGCACCCATGAGAGCTCTCGTGGGGAATGCGGAAGTACAAACGTATTTGTTGCTCATTCCGTTCCATCAGTGCATGTACACTTGGCCAATCATAAAACTGGTACGCATTTTTATATTGTGTAAATCGACCTTTTTTATCACCTCAACAATGACAAAAAGAGTCAAGTCAGTGTCATATTTAAACCAATCATAACATAAAAACATGTCGCATTTACTTTTGTTCAGCTTTGACGTTGACAAAAACTGTCTGACCTAAGTTTTTCAGAGGAGACTTTTTGTTCTTAAGCCTGACTCATACTAGGCAAATTTGAAAAATATATATTGCCTGTACCAGTTTTATGTTTGGCCAAGTGTAATTTAAATTTACACAACTTTGTATAAGAATTATACAGGGTCCGAACAGATTTGTAAAAATTATAACTTATCACGCTCGATATTTTCCACACTTCTACCAGCTCTGGGTCGGCCAATATGGCTGTTATTCACTGTTGTGCCTTCTGCTTCAAATTTTCTAACCCAGTGTCCGAATAAAGGACGTGTCGGAGCTTGATGAATGTCGGTGTAAGTTCAAATGTGCACGAAAAAGGCGACGAACTTGGATGTATGAATGGTTGTTCTCATAAAATGCTTTCACACAGAAAGCGAGCTGCGGCCCTGTGGATCGCTCCATGGTTACGTTACTGAAATTCCAAGATGCATGCTCAGCATTGCATCAGCTCGGATTCCCCCACTCCTAACGGTTCTCGAGAAATATAACAAAGAAATCGTGAAAACCGTTTCGGACACCCTGTACAGGGTGCTGCAATTTGGAGTGTTTTAACAGGAAAAACATACTTCCAGACCAGATAGAGGAAAATTGACTTAGATGTCATGGGATCGATTTTCGAGAAACGTCGATTGTCAAAAACCGTATCGCGATATCTTCAATGGCACCATTAATACAGGGCGATTTTCGATTTTCCCCTACTATGAAAAATAGCTATAAGTTTTTTGTTTATCAATTTTTTTTATTTCTGTGAAAACATCTTTGGGGTAGTTTTTTGAGCACAATCCAGTGACGTACTCAGTTTTTTTCAAATTCACTCCCATTTTGAGATATTGACCAGAGTTCGATTTTTTTAAATAGGACACCCCATATATTAATAACTCATTAGATAGCTCTACTTTTGCTGATTTAAATGATATAAAGTTCGATAGGTTTATCTCTAACAGTTTTCGAGAAAAAAAATTATATCTGTTTCAGTCATAAGAAACAATGTGTTAGAAAGAGACCTTCCTCATTTTCCTTACACATATAAAATCCTTTTCGAACACATTAGTCCTTACCACAAAAACGGATATAATTTTTTTTCTCGAAAACTGTTAGAGATAAACCTATCGAACTTTATATCATTGAAATCAGCAAAAACAGAGCTATCCAATGAGCTATCAATATATAGGGTGTTTCATTTGAAAATATCGGACTTTGGTCGATATCTCGAAATCGGAGCGATATAGAAAAAAACTGAGTCCGCCACTGGATTGTGCTCGAAAAAGTGTCGCCATAATGTTTTTACATGAATAAAAAAAATTGATAAATAAAAAACTTATAGCTATTTCTCATAATAGGGGAAAATCGAAAATCGCCCTGTATCAATGGTGCCATTGAAGATACCGTGATACGGTTTTTGACAATCGACGTTTCTCGAAAATCGAACCCATGACGTCTGGGTCAATTTTCCTCTATCTGGTCTGGAAGTATGTTTTTCCTGTTGAAACATTCCAAATTGCAGCACCCTGTACAAGTGAAGCGGTATTAGTATTCTGTCCTTTCGTTATTTG